AACTGCAGAGCTGATTTTGTTTGATTATTAACACCAGCAGCCCTTCTTTGATCATATCACAACATAGAATCCACCAACTTCCATTGACCATCATCAGCACAACAACAACTACCCTTTTGTTTTGATCATTAACAGCAGCCTTATGGTTGAAATGCATGTTATCCCACTGATGTATAGCAATTAAAAAAGAAGAGTTCAAAAAACAACCAGATAAATTTTCATATTTTGAATGATTAAGCTGTTGTTTATTCAAATGTTTACCTATGAAGTACAAATCGGAACAGAATATGAAGTACAAATCGGAACATTAATCGGAACAGCATATGAACTAAATCGGAACAGAATATGAAGTACCCTTATGTATTTGAAGTACAAATCGGTACAGAATATGCAGAAATCGAAGTAAAATATGCAGAAATTGAAGTACAAATCGGAGCATTAATCGTATTGTGAAGTCGTAACAGATTTCGAAGTAAGTAGAAATTACCTGTCTTCGGCGATGGAGACGACCACGGTGGGAGAAAGCGACGGAGCCGGAGACGGCCACCATGGGAGAAAGCTACAGAGTCGGCGATGTTTGAGGCTGGAGGAGACAGCGATGTCGGAGGCTGGAGGAGATGGTCAGGGATGAAAATGGAGGATGCGATGGAGACGTGACCTAGGGCAAGATTTGGAATCCCACGGAAATGGATTTTACAAAACCCGTGTCCTTTCAAGGGATTCTAAAATCCACCGGTCACGGGATTGTTAATGAATAATAGGATTTTAAATTTTTTTCAATCTTACAAACCAAACATAAGATTGGAATGAATTTTAAATCCAAATCCCTCCAATTCCATTCCATTCCTGCAAACCAAACGCACCCTAAAAATTTTCTCTAATCCGTCGGAATTTTTTTTAATTACTTTTTCCATTTTATGATTTATATTTTTTTTTGGAAATTGTTTTTTGTGATGCATTACTAGCGAATTGTGGTATCCATTGGAAATTTTATTTTTTGACTTAAATTAGTAAAAAAATATTTTATTAAAAATCAAATTAATTAAAATCAGTGGTGGGTTTTAATTAGAAAATGATTAATTAAGACGCTCATAAATCCGCCACTAATTTTAATTAATTAGTGTTTATTATTATTATTTTTAAATTAGACAAATTTGTGGTTGATTTGTGATGGATATGTTGCGGTTTTTTTAAATAATATATAAATACGAGATCTATCATAAAATTCATCGAAAAACTAATTGAAATAAATTCTTACTTAAAAGAAAAACCAGTAGCCAATTTATGGCAGAAGTCAACGAAAGTTGGCTTTTTTAGTCTTCATTGGAAATCCGATTGTAATTCACCAGTAATTTTGCAGCGAAAAATCCATTGGAATGTACAAGACATTTTTTGATAGTGTTTATATATATAGAATATTATATATGATATAGAAATTATCTGCCATAATTTGTGTCTTGAAAAAACATCGTGGCTTAACCGTAACTCCTAAGATTTAAAACTTGACTTTACCTTCATGGCTCAACTCATGTCATTTAAAACCTTGGCCTTAATTAAGTGCCCATAATAATAATAATAATAATAAAACCCTCACATAAATTTATAGACGTCCAAATTTTTGTTAAAAACACTTAAAACATAATTTGTAATTTTATATGTAAGTTAAAAAATGGAATGTGTGAAAATGGTGGATTATGACATATCTATTAAGTTAAGATGCCATTTTTTTGGTGGGAGTGTATCAAATTCGATTTGGATTGATAAAATCAAAAGGACCAATCTAAGACAAAGTTAAATCCGATTAAAACAAATAAAACTAAGGGACGCATACCCGGGTAAGTGCTTACCAAGTCACATTACCTTACTAGATGAATATGGTAAGGACTAAGAATCTTACCTGGTAAGAGAGGGAGACAAGGACCGAGAGTCTTACCCGGTAAGTGAGAGCGACGACTCTTACCATGTTAAGCATTTTGTAAATTGTTGCATACGATGCCGTTTTGGTGGATTAAAGTCTTACCCAGTAACTAAGTGGTAGTGTTAAATTTTACCGGTTCGCTTACCGGGTAAGTATTTGGTAAACGACCCCTAACTTTACTCATGAAGGTAGGTTAACTATTATGATTTTGTGATTGTCTCGTGAAGGCCATTTGTTTAAGTTTTCTTCGGGTCATTAAAGAGTTTGTTTGGTTATTAATTTCAGGATCATATCAGATTAATCGAGATGTACTACACAAATATAGTTTGTGCAATATTTTATGTTTTGCTCTTTTATATTTTTCAATTTTGATTTGATTTTAATTCAATTTGGTTCAGTCTGATTCAAATTCGATAAACCATCACTAGTAATGAGTCTTAGCTTTGTTAAACTTCAACTTTTGAGGTTTACACTTTTGAATTGAACTTTCTGAAGTTTGTGTTATATGTTGATATATACTTTCTGAATGTTCATATGTCCTTTGATGTTCAATATTTGGAATATGACGATGCAATAATAATTTGTTTGAAAAGTTGTAACCCCACTTTCTAAGTGTACACATCCATAAAAGCAATTTCAAACACTTCAAAATGATTAATCACACTTGATCTTTAAAACAGTTCAAAACATAGAGTAATTAGAAATTCAAACTCTTATCGGACAACAAACAAAGCTTATCAGACAACAATTGAATCTGCCTAAACAGGTTTATCGAACAACACACAAATATGTCAACCCTTTATCGCACAAAACAACTTATCGCCCAAGCTTTTTATCGACCAAAAACCTATTTGATTAAAGCTATGTTCGAACTCTGTATCCGGGATCTTAGTACCATGAACTTTTGATGATTAAATCCTTTTTGATTAAATCATTTTCAAACTTCGTTTTTATACTAACATTTAGAAGCCTAGAACATAGTTCAACCAGAAGGGTTCTAGTCGTCCAGATGGCCTCTTGTTGGCTTGGCCTCTGGGTGGATTAATTATATTTATTATTGTCCTTGGAAAAATGTTCAAACCTTTAGTAAAGGAGAGAGGCGTTGGTTGATCTTCATGATTAATCAGAAGGCCTCTGGTTGCATTTAAAATCCGTTCTTTCAAAGCATTTCATTTTTGTTACCAGAAGCTCCGGTTAACTGGTCATTCAGAGGGCCTTTGGTTGGCCATGACTTGTGTTAAATTTTGCTTCGAGTTAGCTATACTTCTAAGAAGGGCATTGTTTGGAACTTCTGGTTGATGAACCAAAGGGGCTCTAGACTTCCAAAGAGCCTCTAGTCAGTCATATGTTTTGGTTGGCTTCACCTTTTTATAAAGTCTTGCTTTTGGTTAGCCTTTAGTGGCCTTGTTTAAGTTTGACCTTGCTCTGGTTGGTAGATCAGAGGAGCTCTGGTCTTTAAGGAACCATAGGGGCTTTGGGTGGTCTCACACAAGGTGATGCAAAAGTAGAGGATCTCACCCCAATGCGATGCGAGGAAGTTTTATAAATTCCTATTTGAATGCAATACTTGAGTTACGTTTTGTTGAAAGTTGGTATATATTTGTTTTAATTACAAATATAAGTTTATATCATGTTTTGGTGATTTTCCCCCTGTAATTGCAAAAAAGGAAATTCTCACTACACCTTAAGGTCTAATCCTCATTTTGTGTTTTAAAAATGTATTACAGGTCGAGCACTATCAAGGGATAAGGGATAGGGGGAATTATGAGATTCCTTATGTCTTTACATGGAATTTGGAGAAGAATATGTTATCAACTGATTTTGGAATACTTGTTACATTTGCAAGTTATGTACATGAATGTTATGAAAAAAATTGTTAGCTACTTTTGTAATGTAGCTTCTTGTACTTTTTGGACCGAATGTGTAATATTGTATTTCTTACTATATGAAATACATGGTTATGTAAATGTGGATCTTGGGGTGTTACACTTTTTAAGAGATAAATATCACATGATGTCTCAAAACACCTAGTAAGTTATCATAACACTTCCTAGGAATTTCATAACCCAATAATGTTCAAAACACAAATATTCATAAAATTTATCTAATATGAACCAAGCTCATTAAAATGTGTTCAAAATCCAAAATAGAGATACTAAGACGTGTATATAGTTTTGCAAAACAACTAGAACTTATCTTGCTAGATTTATGCTAAATCTAAGTTCCAAACTAAACCTTGAGCTTCCTTGAAGAAAACTTGAGATCTACAAGAAAATCTTCCTAACCTTAGATCTAAAAGCTTCCAAAAGATCTTCTCCACCTCTAGGAATCCAAAACCTAAGACAAGATAGAATAAAAAGGGGGTGGAGACGAAGAACATCAAAACCCTAACTTCTACAGAAAGAAGATGAGGTGCTTACCTTTCTCAAATACTCAATAATCCACCAGAAAACTTCAATCCTCTTGATCTGATCTTGAAGAGCTTCAAAATACGAAACTATAGCCTCCAAAACTGCCTCAATCAGATGAAGGATGAGAATTATGGTGAAATGAAGGAAATCCAATATCGGACCTTAAACCTGACCCCCTGCGGCTTGCCATGCGACCTAAGGTTGCAGACAAGATCGCGCCCTTTGCCTGAACTGCATCCAGTAACATACGCAGCCACACTGCGATTCAAGGTCGCGGGCCAGATCGCGATACTTTGTTTTCATGCTTTTCTTCCGTTTTTCGCACCCGATTCGATCCCCAATGGCTCCAATATGATTCTTGTATAAAACCTTACTAACTTTCCTTTTTAATGAAAAAGAAATCATCGGAAAAACCCTCAAAAAGCCTCTAAAATTTGCGGGTGTTATAAAAACCATCGTGAGTACACATGCGGTACTTATTCCATAATGCAACTAAAAACCATAAGTATAATCTCAATCCAAACAGGTCCATGTTATACACACATATTTTCCCATTAGTAGGAATCATATCGCAAGTATTCACAAAGCATACAAGTTATACGTCAAAACTATTGGGATTTTTATACTGAAAGCTAAGACACATGATTTTAACTAGGTCAAATATTCGCAAACCAACAAAGAACCAAATACGGATACAGAACGGATCAACAAACAACATTTGTTTATGCGTATGTCCATTAAGTGAGAAAGTTGGAGAGAGAGGAGGAAAGAGAAGAAAGAATTGTAAAAATTCTCTAAATAAGACATAAATTGTTGTTAATTTAAATATATGTCTACTTATATAAAAATTCAAAAAAAAAACCCTTATTTTATTAATAGTCCGTGATTTATATTGATTAACTTTATAGATTTATTTTCATAATAATCACAATATATAAAATTATGACGTCAAAATATACGAAAATGAGTTTTCTTTGTGGTAGGTTTTCCGAAAAAAATAAAATAAAAATATATAATATTTTTAAATATATGTAAATTCTATGTTGAAATTTACAACAGTCGACCTTTTGGCTTTACGTAAGGTCAAGGAGGTGCGTTACAAATTCTTTTTGTGGGACCCACTTCCCACCCTATAAAACCCCCACCCATCTCATCTTCTCTCTCAGTTTTTGCAAACTTCCATGGCTGATCTCTTCCAAGGTGAGCTCTCTACCATTTCCTCTCTTTCCACCCTTTCTTTCTCAGATTCTTACAACTTTCATCTCAATTTCTATCTACAGGATTCCAATTTCAAGTAATTCATGGTAGATTCTGGTTCTCGAGATCGACGATTGCCGCTACATGCTGCTGTGACGACAGTCGAGGTAGTGGTGGTTGGACCGCCGCTCAAAACCGCCGCTAAAACGACGGTCAAGACGTAGACCAACATGGTGCTATCCTTACCTGAGCTTTTACCCTTTTGTTCTCTTTTGTGTTTTTTTGACTTGTTGTCTTTTTTTTTTCCTTAGTGATTCTGTTTTTTCTTGACCTTGTAAGACCTTTTCTTGACCTTGTAAGACCCGATGACTTCTTTTCTCTTTTCGACTCTTGTCGTATTTTGGACTGTGGTTTTTCCATCGTCTTTTGCCGTTTCCGCCCAACTCATCTTCTCCTTCCTTGTCTATCCCTCTTGAGCTATTACCGTTGCAGTTTAATTAAACAAATTGCTTCTGGTATATAAAACTGTCTTTCTCTGTTATGATTGCATTCTGAAGAAAAAAAAAACAATCCGTAACGCTACCGGTGTATATTCGTGATTTTAATCGAAAGACAATTTGATTTTTTTTAATAATTTTTGCTAAAAAGAAAAAAAAAAAGTTGTATTTGTAATTTTCTAGAGTAATTGTATTGTAATCATATATGAAGGTTGCATAAAGTAAAAGTAATTCAAGATTTCTATCCTTTTTGTTTATTTTTTATGGTTCTACTTTTTATTATGTTACAAAAATTAGATGGGTGATTAAATTTTTATAATTTATTTTGATTCATAAATCAAATGTAGTTCATTAGCTATGTGAGCCGATTAATCCCATGATGACCACCTGCTTTGTCGGTAGTTTGGAGTCACGCATTTGTTTCTTTATGGCTACAAGGGGATTTTTGTTTCTCCTTGGATTTGAACCTGGATTTTCCGACATTTTTGACTTTTGGAAGCCAAGCTCAAACCAATCAGACACCATTTTTATGATTTATAATAAGATTTTTTTAGTTGCTATATGTTGTAACAATGGAGTAGAATCTCATTTAGTATAATAGATGTTTAGTTCTTCTGATTCTAAAGCTAGTTTGATCTGTAGTGGTTAATTTTATAACTGTATATTGATTATGAAGATATCGCGTTGTTTAAGTTATATTGTAATATCTGATTGTGTGGAAAAATAACCACATAAAAAATCAGTCGATTCTAAATGAGCTGGAAACTTGTTTATCCAGTCAAACGGGTAATAACATTTAACACATTAATTTAAGGAAAAATTATTTGTCATATTTAATATGAAATAAAATAAATTTCCTTAAAATTTGGTTCATTTTGTCCTTTTCTAACGAAAAAGATTCAATTCACTATACATTTTTTCCTTTTCATAACTGTATATACTATATGTATATGATTAAGTCTACTGAAACTATAAACGTGTTTAATTATTATAGATCAGTAAAATGTGAAATGTTTATGTCTTCATGTGTATTATCAAATTAGAGTTGGCTAATTCATGCTATATTTTATGTTATACAAAATATGCATAATAATTCTCGACTTTAATATGCAAATTGACAACTTAGCCCCTATGGATCTTTAATATTACACATATATGTGTATGTGTGTGATAGATAGTACAAATTATTCTCTTTAAGACCATCATGTTAGATTGTATTTTTATGAGCAGAAACTTTGTTTTTACATGTTTGTTGGCCGAAGAAAGTAATACAGGAAATAATGTATATTTTGTGAAAGGGTAATTTTGTCCTATTTTAAAATCAATATAATATTTAATTTGATACATATCTTAATTATTTATTAAATAGTTGAAACATATTATAATTTTTACGAAATCAATTGATGTTATAGAATATTTTGCAATAATCACTAAAGGGTAAAAGGGTCATTTAGAAAAAAACATATCCAACAAAAAAATGTTACATTTTACAGGTAAGTTTATAAAATATAAAAAAAAACAAAAAAAACAACATTCAATCAGTCCTCTCCTCTGCTCTCTCTGTCCCTGGCTTCTACTTTCACATACCTTCTGGCCTCAGTCGTTGACTTTGCCCCTTCCGCTCCTCCATTTAACAAGCAATTTAGTGGTTGTTCGCTCCTGAACGAAGCTATTGGGACAGCGGCTTTGATAGCGCTTTCTCAATGAGAGAGATCATATCGTGGTAGAGCTCCTATATGTGCTTTGACAAATCCCTCTTCGGCGTCATCTATTGGCTGACTGCACACTGCCTTCTGCCTGACTATGGCTTTTAGAAAGCAAGATCCCTCCGTTTATCACTCTATAGAAAGAACATCCCATACAGAGTCTTTCAACTAACAACTAAGCTATTCGAGCCTTCAACTCAGCTCTCGTCGATAAAGCCATAATAAATTGGTAATTATCAACGCGGTTCGGCCTAAGGGAAAGTCTATAGTGTTCTGGAGAATAAAAACAATACATTTTTCAAATGGAATTGACATTGACCTTTTAAATAATATTTGTTGCCTTAACAACGAAATCAAAAACAACTTTAAGATGAATTTGTAACAAAAAGGATAATAAATCATGGACAAAAGTAATAAAAACAAAATAGAGAAAAATAAACAAAAAATGGTCTTGTTATAGTGGTAGTTATGAATATAATTGCAGTTGAGGTTGGAGTTTGATACTTGTAACTTTATTTTATTTTTTACTGTTCATGTCTTTTGTAATAATAACATTATAGGGCTCATGGGAAGCCGACCCTGAGAGCCGAAACTTAAAGAGTTGAAAAAGTAAATAGTTGCTAGTTATAAGAATCGAACATGCAACCTATTGTACATCACGATTTAATCTATACTATCTAAATGATCTCTTTCATGTTTGATATATGTTATAAATATGGTTTCAAAATATTTGGGAGTCTTTTAAAATCAAACGGGTGCACCTTTCAGACGCCTAAATATTTATCTCTTACAATTATCGAGTGAACGGGAGCACAAGAGCCTGCTCGGTCCTTAATAGGTCCATTCCTGAGTTTATTCGCTAATAACTAACTTATTAGCTAACAAGAAGTTTGTCAAACAAAGTTTAAGTTTATTTAAAAAGAAACAATCATGAAAATCTTGTATGGAAATATGTAAAAATTGTATCATGTGTTGTACAAAATGCACGTAGAATCTTTGTTACTAAATTTTATACATGAACTTATAATTTTCTATGGTGTTCAAAACCTGAAAGAATCGATATGATATGATATAATCTAAGTAGACGAATATGCATTACCTAAAACAAGGAGAAGACTACCAAAGGCTTATTAGCCCAACCATACCCAGGTTATCAATAAAGTTCAGTCTTTCAGGAGGTCGAGGGTTCAAACCTAGTTGAGGATTTGGGTATAGCGTTCATGAGGAATCACAATAAAGAACTTGGATCAAGAATCTAGATCATGCCCGAGCTTACTGAAGTGGCTATTTTTCATAGACACATGTAAGTAGTTCTTTTAATCATGCACCTGCACATCCATTTTCCAAGAACTATTAAGAAGATGAGCTTCAACCTCCATCACTTGTAGGTCTGAGCACAAACCTTGGGATGAGAAACATGTGTTGTAGCTTATATACGTAAGCTTTCCACATGGAATTCAACTTTTACCGTTGTATTAGAAGGGAATTGGGTATCTCACTGCTAGAGATTTATATGGACTTCAATCTCATCCTTATCATCGAGTTGTTAACCAAGCCCCTATCTAATCCGTTCATCAAATGGTCCATTAAGTTTTGTTGTGATTGAACCAATTCAACCAAGATCACCTCATCCGTGATTGATTCACATATCATGTTATTCCTAACACCTAAGTGTTTGGACTTGCTATTATACACTTGGTTATGTGCCTTAGCCAAAGTACTCATACTACCATAAAGAATAGAATTAGGTAATATCAGTTCTGGACATAACATAACTTCGTAGACTAGATCTATTATCCACTATGCCTTTTTCTTGACAACAACTAAAGTCACAAATTCTGACTCCATAGTCGAACTCATAATCCATTTTTGCTTCTTGGAAGCCAACGAAAGGAGACCTTTCCCAAGCAAGAACACCCAACCACTCATAGAAGAATGTTGTTCTAGGTTGGTAATCGAACTTGTACTCAAATACCTTTTGAACACTTAAGGAACCCCAACATATGAAAATAATCCATGATCTTCTCTTAAATATTTAAATATGCGTCTTATTCCTTGTCAACGATGAGTACTAGGATTACTAGTAAACCTTCACACCTGGACCCATTGGTGTACTCCCCGGAGAACAATGAATTTGTTAATGGGATTGTGTAATAGCAATCCTTTTGTTCTCACGCTTGATCCTTATACCTGGGATGACATTCACCTCCCCAATATTTTCATGGAGAAGTTTGAACAAGAATACTTTTGTTTGATCTACTTGTCTTCGGTTGGTGCTGAAAATTATCAAGTCATCAACATATGAGCAAATGATTACTACTTTATGAGATGTATCAAATTTTCTACATATACACTTGTTTGTTTGGTTTAATTTAAAACCATTACACAATCACACTTCATAGAGTTTTTCATCCTACTGTTCGGGTGCTTGCTTCAGCCCAAATAATGACTTAGTCAACTTAGGCACCTTATGCTCATTACTGGACATAATAAATCCATCTGGTTGCTTTATATACACCTCTTCTACCAAATAACTATTCAATAATGTTTTCTTGATATTAATCTTGCTTAATCACTAAAATCTGAATAACGGCCCAAACTATCAATAAAATAATTGGTACCTTCCTTTTATCTAAAGCTTGATATTTGTTAATGGTTCTATTGGCTTTCATTTTTATTTTGAATATCCATTTCCAAACCAAGGGTTTCATCCCGATGATAAATCCAATAACACCCATGTATTGTTTCACATGATAAAAATATATCTCATCAGTTATTGCTTCTTTCCGAAAATTAACGTCTTTGAGAGTTCATAGCCTAATCAAACGTCTTTGTATCTCCTGAATACTATAACAATATGAGTATTGGATCCAACCTCATCTATTGAAATTCAACCAAATACAGTTGCAAATGGCTATCCTTCCTCACGTCTTTGGAGTTAGGGTGTTTGAGTTGAAATGATTGATTGCTCGTCTAGACTTTTAGTTCCACTTATACTAGGAACAATATTCTTTGGTATGTTATTTATGAGAACCGAGTCTTATCAAATATTGCATCTCTCAATTCTATAATCATGTTGACCGAAATATAATCATTAGATTGCTTGACTTATCCAACAAAGATGTAACTGATACCCTTTTTTTCACCCAATTTTTTTTGGGTTCGGGTAGAGAGAAATGACACTGTCACATCTGTTGATTATGCCAGGCATTGTGA